TCGAACCCATCGTGGACTTTTGGCAAATGCTACTCCTGAGGATGGCGCCAATACACGTGGAACGCCGCAGGATTCAACGTCAACACAACAAGGGATAAGCAAGCCACATTCCCCAGTTGCATCGTTTCTGGCAGACGCTTGCTTCTATTTTGATAAAGGCAGGTATTTGATGTTTACAGAGGTGGTATCGTCCCATTGTCGACACCTCCCCGCCTTGTTGTGGTGCTACCCTAGAATCACTCTAGGGCAGATGAATGCACTTCTTGAGTCTTGACAACTCCAAGTCCAGGATTTCAAATCAGCAAATCTGTCTTCGCATTGGTAGGAATGTGGGACAACAGTGTGTAAGAAATAAATCTCCTCCTCGGTGTGTACAATCCTGCGGAGTACCTGCAGGCGAGAGCAACTTCAACACATCCGATTAAAAAGTTCCCGAGCGTTGGGTAACCAACTTGTCACACAGGAAGAACGACTCCAACAACAAGAAGGATCACTGATAGCAATTCAAACGGAATAACCAGAAGGGCTACGACTGCTCATGGAGGGTCACCTCTACCCCCCACGCCAGACACACCTCTCGCAGCATGTCAGCACGAGGTGATTGCAACATGTCACAGTCTTGCCTATGCGGACCGATAGCAATGTTGTAGTAGTATCCATTTCCGAGGAAGGATGGAAATCCCTCCGCAAGGCTTAGCTCACAACGTGGCCAGATCTCTTGGGGATTTTTACCCGGAATGCCTGACAACCGTCGATATGCCTTGGATCAGGCCCCGAACCGGAGGGGCCCCCAAACGTGCAACGGGCGATCGCCACGTGGGCCAAGTGTGCGAATAGATGCGACCTCGGCATCCTTCCTCATCCTACGGTGTGATCTGAAGGAAGGCTTTGTTACACTGTGTTATTATCCAGATCTTTAAGGGGGGAGGCGTAAGCCAGCCTCAACTTTCAGTCTCGTGTGGAAGGGCCCTGCAGCCTTGAGGATGTTGGACACGGGACAACTTTGAACCCGACTGTCTCGGGATCGTAAGGCAAGGCTATCGGCCTTGCTCACAGAGCTTCATCTTCTTTTTCGCCGGATTAGCTCGAGGGACAAGGTTGAGAGCTGGGAGTGCCGTTGAGACACACAGCCCCCTCTGACTCGTACCAAGGGTTGCCAGCGTGTGTAGCCTTGCACCAACGGCTCCCTTCAATCTTTGACTCGAGTAGTAGAAGAGTTGCGATTCGATAGTTAGAAGGCATGTTAGAAGCCCATTGCATGCCGCCAAGTAATGAATCATTTCTGTCAGAGAAGGCTTGCACTGACTAGCAAGAGGCTGAGAATTCGACAGCATGACACCTTGTAGCGCCTCGACAGCTTTCCACCTGAACTGTCTATTTGGCCATCAAACTGCATGGTGATATTGTTCAAGTTTGAGTAAGTTCATTATTGTCGGTTTCTGAAGAGGTTGTCCAGGCTTGTCTGACATGAACCGCGCTGGGTCTCGAAGCCAAAAGGCCGTAACGATCCACCATTCATCTAAACCAGACTCCTCAACCATGTACGGTAAGCTCCTGAAGACCCTTCATATGGTCGATGTGCTTCTTCAGTTTCAGAAGAGAGACGAGGGGTTTAACAGCAATGAACCGATGGCAGCTGACAATATCGTCGACTGAAGCTGGCCCCGTAGCGATCCATTGGATGGAGACACTTGCTTGAGTTAACGCTGGTATGTAGTAGAAGTACATGTAGCTTACAATATCACCGGGCATTTTAAGCTTGCACTCGAGACCGGAGAGCCTCTCGGCGCGAGGGGAGGCACTAAGATGATTAAATGACCATCAGGCCGCCATCTTTAGGGCAAACACTCAGTTTTCAAGCAGCTTGATCAATCATTCTCAGACCATTTGTGCTACATACCTACTTCATCGCCCTGGCGTCAGACCATGCTAGGTCTCCCAAGCTGATCACTTCTATCGCGACCGCACGGAATAATCAAGCTATCGGTCAAGAAACAAGTAGGCTAAACGTTATGCCACCAGTCCACCACAGAAACCAATACGCTACTTATGTTTCGATTTGAGAATTTGAAAGGTCCGTCAACGAATAAGGAGATGATTCAATAAGGCGACTGGCCACCAAACGGAGAACGGTACGGGGCAGCAAAAACGTTCTATACTCATTCTGTCTGGCAGCCTTACAAAGAAGCTTGGAGTAGCGTGAGATATTACCCGAAGAGGAAACTTTACGAGAAAGTCAACGGTTGGTGGGTTCACGACTGTTGAGAGCGGATCTCGTGAACCAGTCATTGGTCTAGATGGTGTTTTCGTGGGCTTATATTCTTTGTTAAAACTCCCCGCCCTGTGTTTGTGGCTTCAGGTACAACTACATGGTTGCATTCCGTAACCTTATAGAGATACTTGCGAGAGAATTCCCTTTCGGTTCGGGAGCTGGGTGTTCAAGCCAATCAGCAGCTTGACGGAGGAGCTGCAGCCCAATGGCTGGGCTTGGTTAGCTTGGAGCTCTCGGACGTCATGCAGCTCAGCAAAGTAGACGAGTTGTATCACCGGAAGTAGACGAGGTACCTTTATCTTCTGCTCGGAGCAGCAGACAACATTATCATCTGTCGAGTCTCTACCTGTACAATGGAATAAAGACTCAACCGTCCCATAGGCATGATCCAGACAAGTCCACGTCTGCTGTCGACCTGCATGCACCAGCAGAACAAAACCCTTGGTCTCCGTCGTCTTCTTCTTAGGCTCAGGTTCGAGGCTGCTGGTAAAAGTGCGCCAAAAATTTTCACCCCACCAAGAAAGCCAATTGCGCCTCGAATTTTGCGTGCCTCGTCTGCGGCGTCTTTCCCTCGGTCGACTCTGACTTCTTCTCCTTCTATTACTTTTCCTCCTCTCTCCTCATCATCTTCTACTTCTCTTCTTCACCCATTGATACCCCATTTTCCGCCCTCGCGCCCTCGCGCCCTCGCGCCCTTTACACACTTCCTCCTCCAAGATGTCTGGCGAAATTGTTCACCCTACCATCCAAGGTTTGTAGCTGAATCTCGTCTCGTTCATACCCCGCCTTGCCGTGGAAATTTTCATTCCAACTGCCCCTCCATGCCCGTTGAGATTGTCATGAATCTGGATGCAATTGCGCTCGTTTCCCAGCATCAGGATACTACTTCTGTTTGAGACGGGGGACGAGCCAAGTGTTGTACAATGCCCGAGAACCTGGAAAGTTCCTTGTCCATCCGGGTATCCTGATAAGAAAGCATCGCGATAAGGGAAAAAAAAGTTGCCATGGTGGGATCATCACTGCGTCTGAAAACAAAGGGCTTCTATGCAAAAGAGAATAATCAGCATTCGCACCTGACCGGGGCCATGCCAACACTTGAGGAAACTTCATACTGATCACCGCTGCTTCTACAGATGGATGGTTCCGCGAAATCTCCGACATGTGGCCCGGCCAGGCCATGACCCTCAAGGTCGAAAAGGTCCTGCACCACGAGAAGAGCTTGTACCAGGACGTGCTCATCTTCAAGTCCACCGACTACGGCAACGTCCTCGTGCTGGACAACGTCGTCCAGGCCACCGAGCGCGACGAGTTCTCCTACCAGGAGATGATCACCCACCTCGCCATGAACTCCCACCCCAACCCCAAGAAGGTCCTCGTCATTGGCGGCGGCGACGGCGGTGTCCTCCGCGAGGTCGTCAAGCACGAGAGCGTCGAGGAGGCCATCCTCTGCGACATTGACGAGGCCGTCATCCGCCTCTCCAAGCAGTACCTCCCCGGCATGGCCGTGGGCTTCGAGCACCCCAAGTCCAAGGTCCACGTCGGCGACGGCTTCAAGTTCCTCGACGACTACAAGAACACCTTCGACGTCATCATCACCGACTCCTCCGACCCCGAGGGCCCCGCCGAGAGCCTCTTCCAGAAGCCCTACTTCCAGCTCCTTCACGACGCCCTCCGCGAGGGAGGCGTCATCACCACCCAAGGTTGTATGTCTCTTTTTTCTTTGAGAAGGCGAGCAGCCCCCCATGGGCTACGGCCGGCATGCTGGAAGGCGACCCGTGCTGTTCTCTTCTTCCATGTGGGAACAGCTTTGGCGATTGCATCCATCTCCGACTTCCCTAGGGGCTGCCAGAGCTAGTGCTGCTTTCTCAACCGGGCCGCTCGGTAGTTCCGAGGATTGGCTTATCTGTCTCATCAGAGAACACATGGGGGCGCAGAAGCTTTTTCTCGCCTGGCCAGATTTCTCCTACTTTTCACTTTCATATCCTGATGGGGCCAACCAGCTAACGTCTTGTGACTCGAACCAGCCGAGAGCCCCTGGCTGCACCTCCCTCTCATCGCCCGCCTGAAGAAGGACTGCAAGGACGTCTTCCCCGTCGCCGAGTACGCCTACACCACCATCCCCACCTACCCCTCGGGCCAGATCGGCTTCATGGTCTGCTGCAAGGACGCCAACCGCAACGTCCGCGTCCCCCTGCGCAGCTGGACCAAGGAGGAGGAGGAGGAGAAGTGCCGCTACTACAATGCCGAGATTCACAAGGCCAGCTTCATCCTGCCCACCTTTGCCAAGAAGGCTCTGGAGTAAGGGTAGTAAAAGGTGCTTGTGTATGAGTGGTTTCAGACAGCCATGGCGATGGAACGAAAAGAAAAAAAGAGAGGGGATGAGAACAGGAGCTCGCCCTTTCTTAATGAGAATGGCTTCATGACTAAGAAAAGAAACAAATGTCCACAATGACACCGATAGTGGAAACATTGAGGGGTCATATGGGGGAAGCTCTACTCGAAGTAGGGATGACATATATCAAAGGTTGAATAGATCCTTCTCTCATGTAGAGGCTGCTCCATGCCCTGTGGTGTCAAGTAGCGATGTGAAAGTTACTGTAATGAAAAGCCGTCTTTATGGCAATTGTACGATGTCATGTCCACATGATTGGATGGAATAACCACCAGGTGATGTCTTTGTGCCAGTATTTGATCCAATTATTTTACGACTTGTCTTGGTCATCTTCATCTAGAGCTCGTCAAATGAAATCTTTCCCTGACTGATATCGGGATACACGTCGAATCTCCTTTGGCTGTTCAACGGGATATTCTTCCGAGCCTCAGCAATGGCCTCGCCCACCAGCTCCCCCTGGACAATCGTCTCGTGCTCGTCAGCCTCGACCACGACCTTGGCCAAGGGATCGACAATCAGGCTGTGGCCCCAGGCGTGGTAGCTCGCGCCCATGTCCCTCGCCGGACTGCACAGCGCCACGTAGATCTGGTTGTCCACGGCCCGGGCCTGGGCCAGCAGGCGCCAGTGCATGGGCCCGGTGGTGAGGTTGAAGGCGCCGGGGTAGACGAGGGCGAAGGCGCCGCGGCGGGCCGCAATGGTGGCCAGCTCGGGGAAGCGCACGTCGTAGCAGATGGCCACGGCGATGGTGCCGTACTCGGGCAGCTCGACGAGGGTGACCTTGTTGCCGGGGCTGAGCACGTCGGACTCCTTGAACTTGATCTTGCCGGGGATGTCAATGTCGAAGAGGTGCACCTTGCGGTGCGTGCCCAGCAGGCCGCCGTCGGGGCCGAACGTCAGGCTGGTGTTGTAGTACTTGCCCGTCTCGGGGTTGAGCTCCGGGATCGAGCCGCCGACGAGGTAGACGCCGTTGTCGGCGGCCATGGCGGACAGAGCGTGGAACGAGGGCGACTGCTCGCGCGTCGGCGGCGACGGGAGCAGCGTCTCCGCGTACTGCGGGAAGTAGTCGCAGCCGTAGGGCGAGTTGAAGCACTCGGGCAGGACGACGAGCTTGGACCCGGAGCGGGCCGCCTCGGCGACCTTTGCGGCGGCGTGCTGGAGGTTCGCGTCCTTGTCGGCGCCGGAGGCGAGCTGGATGCACGAGATCTTGATGGGCTTCTTGAGCACCGGAGCGGAAGACGTGGTGGACATTCTGCGGAGGAGGAGGCCGGAGCCGAGCAGGAGGGGTGCGAGGGATGTTTGTGGCTTGGAGATGTATCTGGGGCTCTGCAGGATGGGGGCTGTGATTCTCCGTAAGGACATTCGCATGACGGAGGGACAGGCTTGGGGAAAAAAAAAACAGAAGAGAGGAAATTGCAAGCAAAAGCAAAGGGATGGGCGACGGCGATGATGAGGTGAGATGAGATGATGGCCTCTATCTAATTGAAGCCCGATAGCGATGCCGGAGTAGCGGCGGTTCGGATCGGCTACGGAAGGACTTTACGGGGCACCACTGCAGTAACACGTCAAAGCGTATAGCCTACCTGTGCTGCAACCGTGGGATGAGGGGCAGCATAAGTACATGTACTTGATGCAGGTGATTTGGAGAAGGTGCAGCTGAAGTCAAACTACCACCCTAAAAAAATTGCAATGGGCAAAAAAAGAGCAGTAGACGGCGAGAGGTCAACAATAGGAACGGCAAAGAAAATCGACGAAAAGGACAAAAAAATGAAGGAAACCAGTTAGCAATTGCACGTTTCGATCGTGCGACCTCCGGGTTATGAGCCCGGCGCGCTTCCACTGCGCCAAATTGCTTTGTTTGCTGGTGATATGGTTGAGTGCTATGAGTCATTATGTAGGTACTAATGGAAACCCTCTGACTGAAGGTGGATCGCTGTGTGGGCGTCTGTAATATGAGTTGTAATACTGTACCTAAAAAGTGACAGTATCGCCTCAGACTGTGGTGTGCGAAAGTGAGTACTATCGTACTGCCAGTATCTGTAAGCTGTTATCGCTGCTGCCGTCTCCCGTGCCCCTTATCAATGTGGCTGCTGCAGTGTCAATATCGTCAAATGGCCGAATGACCCTCTTTGCGATGCTGGTGGATGCCCCGCGCTGTGCGTTCATTGGCAGCGAGAAAGGGTGAAGCGTCATACATGCAACGGGAGAGGATGTGTGATGTCGCATTCGTCATTGCGATTGGGGTTAGCAGGCAATGGCAGGGAGGCAGCCTTTGTGTCGAGCCGTCGCAGTGTCATAGCCACCTAACACGGCCAGTCAGCTACAGTGCTGCAGCACTGTTAACGCGCTAGCCTCAGCCCCGTACCGTTTACCAGGCACCGGCAACTCTCAATCTGGCCAGGCGGCCCTCGGTCGCTTCCTCTTCCATTTCATTGCTCAATTCCCATCTCGACACCTGTTCTCAACCTTTGTAGACAACAAAGTCAAAGGAGTCATCTACTTGTTCCTTGGTCTCTTGGCTCTTCATACGGCAAACGCCAACGATTCGATTTTGTGTGCCTCAGTCATGACCCGGGTCTACGTTTACACGGCGGGCCTGGTGGCTTTTGTCGCCGGTACGTCACCATCTCCAACGACCGGAGCTGTCCCAGCTTGAAGCTTGTCGCAATACGATGGATGCATCGCCAAGCTGGCCAAATAGACACTCTGCGTGAGCAAACAGGAAAAAACTGACTCAAGGCGCAAACCAGCCACGGCCATGATTGTCGCCTCCATCACCGAGCCCCGTTGGGTCTCGTACTCAGTAACCACGACCAAAGGCGAGACGCTCGAGAAGCACATTGGGCTGCACAAGAGCTGCTCCAGCCTCGACGACCCCTACTGCCGCGACTTCCCGTCCCAGGAGCTCTGCCAATACGGCGAGCGCTACTTCTGCTCCATGTGGCGGACCGTGGGCTTCATGGCCTCGTTTGGCATCGTCCTGTGTCTGGCGACGCTGATATCCTTCGCGATTGTCATGGGCGGCGGCAAGTACAGGCGCGAGACGGGGTGGCCGTTTGTCGCCGCCCTGCTGACGCTCGTGTCCGTCGTTGAGTTTATTGTCATTTCCATTGTGGTGCGTAGAGATAAGGCGCTGCTGGTTGCTGCAGCCTTTAATGTGTTGTGTCTCGGTGGCGCGGCGATACTGACGGTTCACAGGCGTTTCTGTACGACCATGACGCCCAGTTTACCATTCCTGGATGGAGGCTCGATGTTTCGTGGTACCTTGGCACGGTTAGCGCTGCGCTGTCGTTGATCACGGCGGCTGGCCTAGCTGCGTCTGCCTATTTTCTTCCGCCGGAGGAGGGCTACGAGTTCCTCGACGATCCGCTTGATGCTTAAGTTTACGTCTTGTCTTTTCACGGTTTACGGATATGCTCACACGACTTGATTGATTTCTATCGCATCTTTACTGCAAAGCTTCTCCTTCTTTCTTATTGGAATTGGGCATTTGGCATATGGTAGCTCGGCGCTTGGGAGTGTTCACACACGATTGAATGAGTTTTGGAGTCTTAGGTGGTGCTATCCAGCCACGAAGTCTACTCGCCGTTGCTTCGTGCTTTCTCAGAATACAGCTTGCCATGACATGCATGATGAACCCTCGTGAGAATAATCATGATACCCCGTTCTGGCCTATCCTTCCCATCAGCACGCGAATTGCCGTATTCCGTCCTTATCGCGACTAATCGGCGGAGTCCGACTCCGGAACGAAACCCGGAGCGACTCCAGGCGGCTTCCGGCGGGGTTGATGCAGGAAAACGAACGTCACCCCACTTGGAGACCACTTACAAGCATCGCCGGCATTGTCAAAAGTTCGCTCGGCCGTAAGACACAGCCAAGTAATTTCTCAATACTTCCCCTCCTCCTCTTACTCACCTCCCTGACTCTTATCATTCTCTATTGTTGCTTCATCTTGACGTCTTCCGCCATGGCTGATCCAACCCCGGGCCTCACCCCCGAGCAGCTCGCCGCCTTCCACAAAGACGGCTATCTCATCATCCGCAACGCCCTCACCCAAGAGACCGTCTCCTCCCTCCTCGCGGAAACGCACCACCTCCTCGAGAGCTTCTCCCTAAAGGACCACCCGCTCACGCGCTTCTCCACCGGCGAAAAGTCCGACCATGTGGGCGACGACTACTTCCTCTCCTCGGGGGACAAGATCCGCTTCTTCTTCGAGGAAGACGCCTTTGACGACGCCGGCAACCTGACGAAGCCAAAGGAGCGCGCGGTGAACAAGATCGGGCACTACCTGCACGCGCTGTCGCCGCCCTTCAAGGCGCTGCTGGACGAGGGCCGGGCCAAGGCAAGGGGGGAGACGAGCCCCGCGGCGGTGGCGCGGACCTTGGGCTTCGCGGACGCGCGCTGCCTGCAGAGCATGGTGATTTGCAAGCAGCCCGAGATTGGCGGCGCCGTGCCGCCGCACCAGGACTCGACGTTTCTGTACACGGAGCCGCCGTCGGCCGTGGGCTTCTGGTACGCGCTGGAGGATGCGACGCTGGAGAATGGGTGCCTGAGTTTCCTGCCGGGGTCGCATCGCTGGGCGCCCATCGAGAAGAGGCTGGTGCGCAAGGCGGGGGCCGACGGGGGCACGGAGATTGTGGACAATGAGGGATCCAGGTTTCCGCCTGGGGAGGAGTATGGGGAGGAGAAGAAGAGGGATGGGGAGGGGGAGTATGTGCCGGGGGAGGTCAAGGCGGGTGATTTGGTGCTGATCCATGGGAATCTGCTGCATAAGAGTGAGCGGAACACGAGTTCCAAGGGGCGCATTATCTATACGTTTCATATCATTGAGGGCGAGGGGAGGAGGTATGATGAGAGGAACTGGCTGCAGCCGCCGAAGGAGGGCTTTACGAAGCTGTTTGCGTAGAGGGGACAGCGAGAAGCAAAAGGGTGCCTTGAACATCTTTCAGATCGCTATTCCGCCTTCATTTTATGTGCTCATGCTCATCACGTCCTGAGGAAGTTCGACTATCGCTCGTGCGCTCTAATGATACATATAGGCGTACACAGAATCATATAAGAGAAGAACTTGGTAGCAATCAATCCCCTTAAACAAAACGAAACCAAGTATAACTCGAGAGGCCCGTCCCGGGTATCATGATAATCCCCCCTGCAGCGTGGTCACCTCCCTATCCAAAGACATATCGGACCTCGCAATCCTACACCATGACAATTTACAACGCCCGTGTATAATGCCGCTTGCGGTTTATATCCTATTCCTCGTCGCTCGAGCTCTCGTCGTCCGAGTCAGACTCCTCCTCAGTGTCAGACGATGATGAGGATGAAGACGAGCTGCTGGAGGATTCGTTGCCGTTGTCAGCTTCTTTGCCCCCATCATTGTCATCATCATCGTCTGAATCGTCATCTGAAGAACTGCTGCTCGAGTCCGATTCGCTGTCCGACTCCGAGGAGCTGCTGCTGTCATCGACAGCAGTGCGCAGTTTTCTCCGCCTCTTGCCCGCTCCTTCACTCAGCTTCACCTTGGCGTCGCCCTCGGTAGTTTTGCTGCTGTCACTATCGGCAATGCTGGCCTTGCCGGAAGAAACCGTCGCCGTAGTTGTAGTGCTGGCGTCCGTCTCCTCCCCGTCCGACAATGAATCCAACACCAGTTCCGCGCGCATTCGCTTAATCACACGCGTAATGACGTCGTCCACGTCTTGCGACGAGCTTCGGTATTCCGCCTCGTCAAAGGTTTTCCGCTTCTGCCCGGCCTGTGAGTGCAGCACTTGGGCCAGCACTTGGTCGTACCTCAGCTGCTTCTCCGGCAGGTTTACTGAGCCTTCCGGGAAGCCTGCGGCCCCGGCTGTGCTGTCCTTTGTCCGCAGCTCCATGGCGGTTTCTTGTAGTCTCGTGCGGACGAAGCCCTTGAGGTCGCGGATGTATGCGTAGAAAGTATCAATGTCGGCGGAGGGAAAGAGAGTAGGGTCGAAGGCGAACTTGATGAGGGTCGACTGGTGGTTCTTGTTGAACTTCCACGAGTCTCGAGCCGTATTCCACTGGTTCAAGTACTCGAGCGCAGGCTTGATATCGGAAGGCGGAACAGCCGGAGCCTGCTGCTTCTTCCCAGGCACCTTGGCCTTCTTCGGCGGTGGTTTGTTGGCGGCGGGCTTCGTGGTGTCGACGCCGCTCTTGGTGGGCGTCTCGCCGAACGAGACGGACTTCTTCCTGTTCAGCTGAGGGCTGGGAGCCGCAGCATGCGATTCGTTCCGCGCCTTTTTCAGGGCCGACAGACGTTCGCCCGCCGGCGGGGCCTCGGGCTTCCGCTTGTTGAACGGCGTCGACTGCTGCTGGGCTTGCTGGGTCCTGCTGCTGCTGCTACTGCTGCTTGGATGCCCAACCTGCAGGGTTTCATTTGCTGCTTCGGGGGCCGAGTTCCCCTTGAGCTTCAGGCCCAATCGCTTCCAGGCCGGCGCACGAGCCGTCGATCCATCGTTTGAGTAGGCCATGTTGAGGATCTGCTTTTGTTTCGTGGCGAGAGAGAGAGGCCGGTGAGGAAGTGATTGTTGAGTTGAGTCGCAAAGGATCGTCAAGCGGACTCCCAGTTCGCGCGTTTTGGCAACGGAGCCAAAAGCTGGAGGACAACTCGACAAGAAGCGATTGATTGCCCCTGAAGAAGAACCGGTAAATAGAGGCGATTTCAGCTCGAAACAGGCCAATGCAGGTCCCCAATTGCCTGCTGCAGTCGCAAATCAGGTGCCAATCGATTTCCAGGCAAATAAAAAAAAGAAGTTGGTTGCGCGAATCATCTCTTGTTTGATTTCTGCTTCCCGCGACCGATAAGATGCCCCGCCAGCTTTTTTTCTTGGAGGGCTCCACAGGGTACTTCTCCAATGTACTGGTGGATGCTCTGCTTCTGCTCTTTTGTCTGCTTGGGCGCCTCAGGCTCCCAGATTACGTAAGGAGCCGGCCTCGGCCTTCCCAGCCAAAGCTGCCATTGCTCTAGGCAAGCTTGTGCTAACGCGTACGGCCTTAGAAGCTCAGCAACTTGGCCCATACCAGCGACATCTCGATATCTGCAACTCATCTGCGCTGGATTTGATCCAAGACGGCTTACAACTGACTGCCGCGATTCCATTTTCTTGAACCTGCCCTCGATAGGGCTTCCATACCGCCAACATGTCTGGTTAGTGTGGCCATGACGGCTCTCCCCGCCATCATGATGATGCCGGCCGCTTTACTGACTTGCAACAACTCTTAGCCAGCGCATACGACCGACACATCACCATCTTTGCCGACAATGGTCGTCTGTACCAAGTCGGTAAGTTGCCGCTCTCAACATCATGACCGATTCGAATTGCATAGCTCGAACTGCGTCACACCCACCTGGTCACCCAGCCCGGCCCGACCTCGCTGACATCCCGTCTCCATAGAATATGCCTTCAAGGCAATCACAGCCGCGAACATCATGTCTGTAGGCCTGCGAGGCAAGGACTGCGCCGTTGTGCTGTCACAGAAGAAGGTTCCCGTACGTGTCTTGGTCCCGCAGAAACCGGCATGGGGCATCTACTGATCTCGGGCGCGCAGGATAAGCTTATCGACCCCTCATCTGTCTCCCACATCTTCCAGATCTCGCCCTCCGTGGGATGTGTCATTACAGGCTCCATTGCCGATGCTAGAGCATTCGCCCAGCGTGCTCAGGGAGAAGCTGCTGAGTTCCGATACAAGTACGGTTACGAGATGCCGGCTGATGTCCTGGCCAAGCGACTGGCCAACATCAGCCAAGTGTACACGCAGCGTGTAAGGATGGCCTCTTTTATCTGATAAATGCCTTGGGACTATATCACTGACACTGTGAACCAGGCCTACATGCGGCCTTACGGCGTTGCTACTACAATCATCAGCCTAGACGAAGAGCGGGGACCCCAGCTGTACAAGTGCGACCCAGCCGGCTATTTTATCGGTTACAAGGGCACTGCCGCCGGACCCAAGCAGCAGGAGGCTATGAACCACCTGGAGAAGAAGCTGAGGAACAAGGAGCATGCCGAGGGGTCCTGGGAAGAGGTTGTCGAGCTGGCCATTACAACGCTGAGCACAGTTCTCAGCATGGATTTCAAGAAGGGAGAGATTGAGATTGGCATCGTTGGCGGACCTCGGGCGGATGGCAAAGAGGGCACGGAGCCCGGCTTCAGAAAGCTCACCGAGGATGAGATTGAGGAGAGATTACAAGCCATTGCAGAGAAGGACTAGAGCATTCCATAGACGGGTTAATGAAGCAACTTTTGAGACGTCAATCTGCCGCATGGAACCCCGATGTTCATAGCCTGTTGAAGTCCGTGTCTATTAACCGCTGACAGCTCATGACGTTTTGCTGCTTGCTTCAGAAAGGTGCCTGAAGCAACATGGCGAGCCTGGTGAGGAAGCTTCTTTCCAAGTAAACATAGTGCCTCGAGATATCATTCAAGGCAGCAGGAATACTAGCCGCCCAGCATTGGGCATGGGGCTCTCCGTATTATGAAAGAAAAGGGATGGCCATCCGTTCTCGCAACGAAGCATGGCTGCATCAGGATGGATGCCTGTAACGGTGAAGATCCAGGCGACCGGATAAAGGAGTCGAGACTACATGTAGCCGTCGCTCATGTGACCGGCACCTCTGGTCCCCAAGCTGACCCAAAGGCTAATAGTAGTACCAGGTAGCCGGGCAACATGATGATAGGCATCAATATCGCTCGTAGGAACCAATCAGGCTGTGATATTACTACTACTGGTAGGTAGCACTACAACTCCGAACTTCGTATCCGTACCTCGGAGTTCAATGACCCTTCGAATGGGCAATTTTGCGGTTGCCTATGCTCGTGCCAACGTCCACCACGTTTACAAAGGGGACGATGAGGCGGTAATTGGGATTTGATATGGAGCCCCGCTGGTGGGGAGGCCAGGAGCAAGGGCTTCTCGAAGGTCGACCAGGGGGTGCTGTGGAAGATGCAGCTTTTATTAATAGCCCTGACAGCCGCTATTGAGTGTTTAAATGAAGCATCTTTGCGTTTGATTGGGCATGTGACGGGGACGGTGCTACAAGTTGTATGTATGGGGATTGAGATCATCAAGCGACTGACGTAGAAATTGGACCTGAGAAGCCGCCATGCTCCATAGAACGGTAGACTAAGCTGTGCGGGTGCACAGGATATATCGATCAAGTTGATTTGCTTGGACCGTGTGCATCTTGGGTGGAGGAGAGAAGACCACTGGACAAACACGCAGAGTCCGCAATAGAGCAGAAGAAGAAAACAAGTCTCGATCGAAACTCCGTCCAAGCCGGCTTGGCCATGGAAGCAAAGAAAAAAAAGAAAAGAAAAAGAACAGCCTGCCCCTGATTCGAAGCCCCTAAACCAGGGAATATCGCCAGGCCAGCTTAGCACAGAATCTCCCCTTGGAAATTGTCCTGCCGTTGAGCTGCGGACGGAGTCATATTGGCAGCTCCCAATCCGGACTAGCGCCGCTGCCCTTCTACAACTGGAGAGCTAGACCGGATCATCCCGTGCGCGGCTAGTCCTAATGAGGCACTGCTTCTCTGTTTATTTCGCTTTGTTGATTTTGCGACTGCCTACCGCGACTTGGCCACCCTCGACTGGGCCTCTTTTATTTTTTTTTCTTATTACCAACTCGCCCTCCCTTCTTCCTCCTCCCGTCTCTGCAACTCGCAACCTTTTTGCATCTCTTCGCATCTGAAGCTGCAGCAACCTGATTCTCCTATCGTCCTTTTAATACCAACTCCTTTGTTTCTTTAGCCTCTTCGACAAGCCTTCAAGATGCGTGAGATTGTGAGTCCTGATGGCCTTCTCTTCCCCCCACCTTGAGAGCTGGGCGTTGGGAGCTCTCTCTCACGCGCCCACTGCTGTTCAAAGGACGCCTGAGCTTCCACTCTGGTGGCTCGGGTCGAGAATCAAGATGCCTTTGCTTCTGGGACGATGAATACCGGCTGACTCGTGATTTTCTCTGTTACAGGTTCACCTCCAGACCGGCCAGTGTGTAAGTTGCTTCATCCTCCTTTGCCCCTCCTTGGGCGCTGTTTGCGCCCCCCCGCACAAAGACGCGACATCGCGATGCTGACTATTTGCGCAGGGTAACCAAGTTGGTTCTGCCTTCTGGTATGTTGTTCTCTCGAGAGCCACGGCGAAGAGCTCGAATCGACGCGTTCTCGACGAATCTTATACTTATACATCGTTATAGGCAGACCATCTCTGGCGAGCACGGCCTTGACGCCAGCGGTGTCTACGGGGGTACCTCGGACCAGCAGCTTGAGCGTCTGAACGTCTACTTCAACGAGGTGTGTAATATTTTTGCCAGTGATCGTCGTAGGCCAACTTCGATCGGGACTTGAGGGTCTAACGGTGTGCTCTCTATAGGCTTCCGGCAACAAATATGTTCCCCGTGCTGTTCTCGTCGACCTGGAACCCGGCACCATGGATGCCGTTCGCTCGGGCCCCTTTGGCCAGCTGTTCCGCCCTGACAACTTCGTCTTTGGCCAGTCTGGTGCTGGTAACAATTGGGCAAAGGGTCACTACACTGAGGGTGCCGAGCTGGTTGACCAGGTTCTGGATGTCGTTCGTCGCGAGGCCGAAAACTGTGAATGCCTCCAGGGTTTCCAGATCACCCACTCGCTCGGTGGTGGTACCGGTTCCGGTATGGGTACCCTGCTGATCTCCAAGATCCGTGAGGAGTTCCCCGATCGCATGATGGCCACGTTCTCCGTCGTCCCTTCGCCCAAGGTCTCGGATACCGTTGTCGAGCCCTATAACGCCACCTTGTCTATGCACCAGCTGGTTGAAAATTCGGACGAGACGTTCTGTATCGACAACGAAGCCTTGTACGATATCTGCATGAGGACGCTCAAGCTGTCCAACCCCTCATACGGCGACCTGAACCACCTGGTTTCTGCTGTCATGTCTGGTGTCTCTACCTCCCTCCGATTCCCTGGCCAGCTTAACTCCGACCTCCGTAAGCTTGCTGTCAACATGGTGCCGTTCCCTCGTCTGCACTTCTTCATGGTGGGCTTTGCGCCGCTCACCAGCCCCGGCGCGCACTCCTTCCGCGCTGTTACCGTCCCTGAGTTGACCCAGCAGATGCTGGATCCCAAGAACATGATGGCGGCCTCTGATTTCCGCAACGGCCGCTACCTGACGTGCTCCACCATCTTCCGTGGCAAGGTTGCCATGAAGGAGGTTGAGGACCAGATGCGCAGCATCCAGAACAAGAACTCGAGCTACTTCGTCGAGTGGATTCCCAACAACATCCAGACCGCGCTCTGCTCTATTCCTCCCAAGGGTCTTAAGATCTCTTCCACCTTTGTCGGTAACTCCACAGCCATCCAGGAAATCTTCCGCCGTGTTGGCGAACAGTTTTCCGCCATGTTCCGCCGCAAGGCTTTCTTGCATTGGTATACTAGCGAGGGTATGGACGAGATGGAGTTCACTGAGGCCGAGTCCAACATGAACGATCTCGTCTCCGAGTACCAGCAATACCAGGATGCCTCAGCTGATGACGGTGAAGAGTACGAGGAGGATGCTCCCATTGACGAGGAGTAAATGCCTCCCTGACCTTGTGGCATTTCTCTGACCCGCCGTTGTGGTTTGGGATGAAAGGAATTCTTTGTTTTCAGTGGGGTTAATTGTTCGAAGCAAGCCCCTTCTCTTGTGATAAATACTGCTTTAACTAGGCTCTTCAATACAGTCGTGGGCCCAATTTCGACTTTTGATGCTTGAGTGATGTTTCAGCTTTGTCTATGTCTAATATATTTTGGCTCCATCCCTATCAAGAGCGCGGTCAACTGAGAGGCATGTGTAGCCATAGTGGTGAACTTTCACACGTTGATCATGTTTGAATACAGTTGCATCAGAACTCCTTGAGTAGGTGCTTATATGGTTTTGGGATTGGCACTCTGTTGAGAACAGCAGTGGCAACTGAAGGACGTACGATGGGGACGGAGTGATGGTCTTACACAACTCTCAGACGTGGGTGATGTTCAAGATTGACGTGAATATGCACATGTTGACGAATTCACCACAAAAGAGAGACTCGCTGCTAGCAGCCGCAGGAGGCTTTTTGGTCATCATGATAGCTTTGTAAGCTCTCAGGTCATTGAGGATACAGAGGTTAAAGCTCTGAAAATCCAAGAAAAAAAAAAAAAAAAAAAAAAAAAAAAAAAAGGCTTGATATGACCGCTTACGAAAGTTTCAAGGGACGACCAAAAAATACCTTCTGTCTTCTTCGGAAGAAGCAGAACCAGGAATGTGGTGAGTTTGATTAGACGTTGGTCGAAGATAGTGGTTGCTGAGCCCAGATAGAGTTGGAGAAGGGTGCCATTGTGCGTCCGGGGACGCTCCATTACATTACAGAGCCATAGATTATCAGGTAGGTACTCTTGAATAGGTACTAAGATATTAATATACCAGGTACCGTAGGGTTTACTGAAGGGTGAGGTAGTCTCAACATACCTATGTAATAAGGGAAATCGTCCCGAGGTTCGAAAAGTGAATACTGCAGGATACGTTACGTTGCGGAGGACTCGTCGATCATGTACTCGTTGGTACAGCCATACAAAATCAATGCCCAATATGCAAGAGAGTTCTCAAATATGGAGGTGTTCTGCCCGAATTCTGACATTTCGTTCGATGGTCATTCGTATGGGACGTGGGGAGGAAACGCTGCAGCTTATATCATCCATCACTGTGCCACTGCGCAGCTATTGGGGCCTGGAGCAGCCTTGGCCAAAAAACCGCCATGCATCTCCAGCTCAGCATGTCAGGGCCAGCCGTGTCACTGGTCTAGGCAGCGTTGATTTGGGGGCGTAATCTCACCCAGTAGGGCTTGTAGGGCTTTCCGTGCGAACAGGGGGCTCGGCTCCATTGTACAAGATCTGAGCTACAGGGAGGGAGCGAAGCAAGGCCATCGCCGTGTGATGCGTCCACATATCGAGGTGTGACGGGAGCCTGAAGGATGCCATTGGCTATGGCTGGGCTTCTTTATCACGGTGGCGTTATAGGAGGGTGTGCCTTCCAGGGCCGTTGAGAAAGGGGCGTGTGAGTGCTGAACGGAGGTGGTTGCGGCTCAGTAGGTCTGATCACTCGGGGTGTTTTGCTTCCGGAGCCAGTGGAGGCATAGGGGAGCCAAGATAGGGGATGAGTTCGTCGCATCTGCAGGCCTGAGTTGCCGCTTGGCGTAGTGGCTCTTGTCTCCTATTTGATTTGATGCCCATTCTTGGTTGGTGATCCGGCCAGTGAGGAAGAAGCATCTTGATGCTCGAGGTCGAGGTGACTCAGATGAGATTAGGAGGCCCCACGGCTCGATTTGTGATGCCGCAACCAGGCTTCATTGGGCCAATACTTGTTCAGTTGGGCTTGGAAAGTCAACGGAAGGTGGCGTCAACGCCGTCCTATGCCCTTCTCATCTGTTCTTCTCCCCCAGCCTGCTGCCTACGATCAACATGTTGTAAGATGAGTCAATGTCTTTTCCGAATATCAATCGTGCCGCTGTCTTTGCTGAGCTTGGTCAATCATAGCTGAACGATCCCTCCAGACACGGGGACTTGGAACAGAAATGGCTTCATTACCAAGCATGTAAGCAGGCATGATGGGATGATTCATCGGTCAAGCCATCAATCTGCATGTTTTCAGCTGGACTTGCATCAACACGAACACGGCCATGATGCACATGCGCAGTGCAACCATCGGCAAATTACTTTGGGCAAGGTGAGTCTGCGTGTCCACGATGTTCAGTGGGCAGCAGCAGCCTCGTCCCAGGCCAGGCTCCAATCAAGGCCCCTTCGGACCCAGGTCCGTGTCTGAACGCCGCGGTCGTCGGGGCCTCGGTGAAGGGGGTTGAGAGACGGAGATGTAATATCGCAGATGAACCCTTGCCGTGATCAAGGGATCGGTTCAGCAGGCGGTGCAATCCAATCAGGCAGCTCCTCGAGGCCTGCATGTTGACTTGGAGATGCAGACGCCAACCACGGGCTCAGTGACGTGTCTCTTGTCGGATGACGCGCGCATCTGTTTGCCATATTGAGGCGTAGCTCTGCGATGGGGATATGTGAAGACGAGGGTAAGAGATTGGGAGAGGTGGAAGAGCAAAGGAGAGCATCGGCAAAATAAGGCTGTGAAACAAAGAAATTCAGGTAGAATAATAAAACAGATAAAACCAAGGTGAGCTAGGATGGATCAAGTAAATCAGATAAAACAAATTGAAACAAATTGAAACAAACTTAGTTCGTAGAGGTGAGGAAGGCGCGTTGTTGGCAGGCACTGCCTCTAGAATATCGCCCTCCCAGGCGGTTCAAGGCGCAGCGGGTGTCTCTGATGAATCTCTGCCTCTGCATCATCACTGCTTGCATGTATGCACATGCACATGCACACACAACTCTCTCCAAAAAAGGCCACCAGCAACGTCGTCGGCTCGCCAAAAACGAACACTGAGCTCACGATGCATCTCCCGGCAGGCCTCAACGCGCCGTGATTGGCCGCTGGCGCTGGTCCCCGGCAACACGCAGCTCATGCAGGGCCCGTCACTCTGACTTCGTTCGGCAAGGCTGGCGTCGTAGCGCCGCTGAGCCGGAGCTGAAAGCATCGTTTGGGACAGGCCAGATGCACGCCATAGGCCCGATCATTCGTGGCCCAACTCCACCGGCGGGCAGGGCGACAGGGGGGCCAGGCGAGGATCCAGTATCGGGTCTGCAGCGTGCAGCAGCAGCGCAGCAGCGTCCAGACGGGCGGGCGGCCGGGCCAGACACGACGATTCCATCATTCGCTCGCTTCTCTGGCTCTGTCTCCAGCAAGGGACATACGGATGGCACGGGCTCGCGGGCTGTCTAGGCAGGCAGAGCTAGGGTATAATGGACCTGGGGGGGTTCCCGCTTGGGGCTCCGTCGCTTCCCAATGTGTGCGTGCTGCAGCATCAGCGTCACTCGCCAAACGTCAACACCCGGCAAACCGCTGTCTGGCGGTGCGGCGTGCATCTACGGCGTGCATCTAACGGCGCTGCCGGGACACCCCACCCTTACGCGGTCTGCTCGTGGCTTTGTCACAGGTCAAATCGATGGCCTCATGCACAGGTCCCTGAACGTTCGACCCACGGAACGGGGACCAAAGCGCCTCCCCCCTGGCAGGCAAGGCTTTCCTCTGCCTCGAGTCGTTAGCCTCGTCTCGCTCTGCCTGACGTCCGCTGCTGAGATCGACGGGTCCCGGTGCTGGCGCGGAGTCACCCACACGCAAATTGCGAGTCCCCAGTCGGCCCAGCACCACACAAATGCCCAGCCTCGGACCTCAGGCTGGCTGGTCCAAGAGGCATCAAGGGGCTGGGATAGGGCTGACAGCCGCTCCGGTTGGACGGCTCCCCAACTGCCAGCTTGTCCGGGGTTCTTCAGGTCTGAGCTTGCAAAGAGCCACCAGGGTGGAGATGACGGAGAGACCTCTCGTTGGTGTTTGCTGGAAGCTTCGTGGTAGCTGATGGTTCAGCCTGGTCGCCCTCTAAGACCCTCAGATTCGATCCGTCTGCCAAAGCCCAAGTCCACCGTAGCTGTAGGGCCGAGATGGGCATCGAGCTCTTCAAGACCCAGGCGAGAGCGATGCTGGATCCTCCCACAACACCGGACGGGTCGATCATGGACAAAGCATACAAAAGGATGGAGCATCTCGCTCGAGGCAGATCGAGCATAGCATCCCGCCCAAGTCTTCTCTGCTCTAGACCGTCCTCGCCACGCTGAATGAGCTTCGATTTCGACTATTCGACTCCATATTGCCACGCCGTTGAACGCAGCTATTGACTTTGGTCTTGCTGTTCTCAGCTCAGTTGCTCGAGTCTTCAGCTTCAGAGATTCTGCATCTGTTCGCTTCCTTTGCCTCACTCACTTCTCGTCGAAGCCAGCAACTCCACCGACGGTTTCCAAGTCAGCAATCGATCGGCCGAGAGCCATTGTTGCACCTCATCACTAGGGATTTCCTACTACGGAAATACTAGCCAGGCTTCTTCAGCCCACCCCTTCTGCGTCTGGCCCCCAAGTCTCAACCGGAAGCTTTTCTCACGACACTATGGACGGATGTAGGTCACCAGCCACTTAGCAAATTGCTTTCATTGTTCCGCTATTCTTCTCCCCTAGCCCCCGGGTGAAGCATATTACTTGCAGACCCGGAAAAGCACGCCCCCACCCCCCTTAGAAGGTTCAAGTATATGCGCTCACGCGTGATCGACGAACCCATCCTCTCTTACCAGCACAACCCCCCGCCCAGGGCCATCTGTGCGAGACGATGCCATTGAATCTCTCGATTGCTTTCTCTTGAGTGAACATAATGGCTGATGCAAAATGCAATACAAAGTGAACGAGTGCCGCACCGCCCGTGTTGCTGAGGTCCTGTCCGACTTCCGAACGCTCCAGTACTATATTGCAGCCGGCCCTGTCGAGCCAGAAAACGAGGAGGACTACTACACCGAGGGATGGGCGCTCTTGCGGCAATGCACTGTCGACGGGCAGTACATTCTGGACGTGGCCGCCGATACCAGGGTACCCTCGGCCCAAGGGGGAGAGGAAGAGCAAGCCAAAGCCGAGTTGCAGCAGTGCGTATTTCTTGATGGCTTTGTGAGAAACGGAGCCGAACTAACACGCTCCACAGGGTCTTGCTTGATGCTTATGCGCGACGGCACGAGGGGCAAAAGATACTGCTGAGACAGGCAGCGGCGCAGCGATGGATCGAGTACCGAGAACAGGTCTTGCAGGGCCAACGACCACATCCGGGGAACCATGCCCAGCTGCAAGCCCTGGACAACCAGCTTCGAGCGGTAAGCTTACTCGCGCTGCACCACCATCCACAGCTCCCTCCCTGTCCCGATTGCTCGGGCGCAGCCCTTTCCCATGACTGCCGAATGGAAGACGGCGTCTCCACCCAGACCATGTCGGGGGGGAATATTATTGGCAATCTTTCACCAACACATGCACGGCCAAAGCGGTAGTGGGGATGTCGCTAACATCACCCATTCTTAGGAATTGGCCGCCATCACTGACGAATACGTCTATGCTGAGCTGCTGTCTGCGGATCAGGCGCAGGGCCGCTGGACAGTCGAAGATCCGAGTTTGCGAAGAATCCAGCGCTGGCTTCAGTCTCGACGACGGTAACACAACTTGAGTCATGAGGCGGCCGGATGATCACGAATCCGAAGCTATTCGAAGGGCTATGAAGCACTCGTACTACTACTACCTGCACGAAGTTGCATCTAGCCTCACCTCCACTACCGGCACCAAGTTACAGGGGTTTGACACCACCGGTACCTGCTTCGTGTCACCGTCGGCCTTTTTTCCTCTTCTTTCTTCTGCAGTCGCTTGTACAGCAGATGCTGCAAGGTCTGCCATTCTTTTGTGTTTTTCATTCTCTTTTCCCCGGACGTGATTTTGGCGTATTGGCATGGACAGGAACGTCCAGAGGCAGCAACGAGGCAACAGGGATACCTTATTTTCTTGGCTATACTTTTCCTTTTCCAGATTGTACGGGCGTCCTGTTGACATAGGCATGGCGTGCTGCGGGTTGCATGGTTAAAAGTAAACCATCTTGAAGGGCAAAAACGGAGGACAATGGGTCTTAGAATTTTTCTCTATTGGGACTGCCTGGAGCAGCCTCTTCTCATCTCATCGAAGCAATTGTTTGCTTTCATCTCTTTCTGTATCACCTACGCATCAATTGATTTGATGAAGCAATTGAGTTTTGACAAATTGATTTGATATATTGGACTTGACACATTATGACTATATCTTTTGACTTTCAGTTCTTGCTTTGGACACACAAGGCGATTCCCACCAAGGACAAAACCATGCCGATGCCGGTCTCTTTGACGCCAATTAGCTCTTCAATCGGGTCATATGAACATGGATTCCCCGACGGTATCCAGTTCGACTTGGCAAAGCGATGCACGTACCTCTGCTGATGACTTTACCTTCGACAAACCACTCGCCCAGAACGGTAAAGAGGAAGGCCATGGCATTCACAATCGGGACGGTAAGACTTAATTCTAATACGCAGCCGAGCAAGCAAAGGAGATTGGGTCAGAGACATGGCGTTTCTACAGGTACGAGAGAGATCAAAGACGTAACGAAGAGTGATGGCCAGCCCGGTAGAGCGGTTAGGTGTGGGAGGATAGGGGGGAGGTCCAAGAGGGAGGTGAGGGGCAAGAAGGAGGGGGGGATCTGAGACACAGACCCGGAGGCCTTTTCTTCCGGGAGAAAGGGTGGGAGATCAAAGCAAGACATGATGTAGCGAGAGAGGAAAATGAGCGAATAACACAGAGAGAAAGAAGCAAAAAGAGGAGGAGAGGCTCACCAGCCTTGCCAATGAGGAGGAAGAACCAGACGCTGCCGGTGAGGTTGAGCACGAGCGGGACGGCGTAGCGCGGGTTGCGCAGCAGGTCGAGGGCGGCGAAGAGGGCACCGAGGAGGCGGGACCGGAGCCAGCTGGCTTTGACGGCGGGGGAGTCGAGGAGCGGGTGAGGCGCGGGCCTGTGGGTGCGGGCGGCGCGGCGGATGAAGGGGGTTGTGAGGCCCCAGGCGAGGCCGACGAGGATGAAGGAGAGGACGTAGTTGATTGCCGGGGGAGATGGAGATGGTTCATCCGGGGGGGCTGTTGCTGGTGATGATGCTGGTGGTGAGGTCATTTTGAGGCTCTGTTTTTTTCGGTGGTGGTCTATTTTCAGTTTGAAGGTAGAGAGAGGCCAGAGAAAACGTGGCGGGGTTTGATGGTTGAGGCTTGTTGGCCGCCCGAGAGGTTGTCGTTTGATAGCAGCCCCGCGGGTGGAGGTGGGAAAGACGTGGTAGAGGCGAGGGTGACAAAGATGGAAAGAAAGACGAGTCGATGGGATGAAGATGCCAGATGGGGTGTATCGAGGTCTCTGATTGGCCAATTTACGCCCAGTGGAATAAGGGAGCTTTTCCTTGAACAGTTTAGCAGCGATTAGCGCATGTTTCTTCTTCTGTTCTAGCGGGAGCTTGGACGGACTCGGCAGCCACAGCGGGCACAGCCATCTGCCGCCAACAACAAGCCTGGACGAGGTTGCATCCACTTCAATAGCTCAATCTTTTTTGCCACGCGACTTTGCATCATGCAGGGCCGGAGCGAGCGATTTGGATCATTGCCGCAATTGGGATTGGGAGTGGGCTGATGAGGCTGTCGATTGTCAGTCGGGCACGTTTTTTTTCTTTGCTTAGTATGGCAGTTGTAGTTATCTGCAAACGAGGTTGAAACGAGGGTTTCATGCTACCTGACAGTAGGTAGGTAGGTATGTGCCTCACTTGAGTTAAGATTGATACTACCAGTATGCTCCAGTGCGGACATCGTGGATGCGTGTCTCGCCAGCTACCGCAAACTAGCAGTTTGCTGCGTCGTGTTAGCATGTACCTACCGAGACGCCAAAAGACAGTTAGTAACGGCTGTGCCCGGCGCGAAGAAGAGGCAGCCAAAAGAGATGGTAAGTGCCTCGGCAAAGATTTTCTAGATGCCTTGTTGCCCTACCTTCGCCAATGCATCAGGGTGGATATCTACATAAGGTACCCAATACATGAACTGCCGGCCTGCAGAGCTGTTCTTGCTTCAGACAGCCATGACGCAGATGCCATCATGAGCCTCATAAGAGGAAGGAGGTCAATCGATTGCTATGCACAGCCTTTAGGCCTTAGTAATACAGCTACAAGTGTCGCCATTCCTTGCACTCTCACTGCCCACACTCTCTTTTCGCAACCCATGCCATCCACACACACACAGACGTCGATTCTGCTTCCAGGGATCCCGCTGCCCCGGTTCCTCAGCTACCACTAGCGTACCCGCGAAACATCCCTGTCCAGCTGGAAGCCCTTTCTTCGCATCACAAATCAGTGCCGCTGCCAAACAGACAAACGACGACCATTCGTTTTGGCCCCCCTCCGAGGACCCGGGACAGCTGCAAGCTACCTCCCCCTTCACTGTACCTTTAATAGTGGTGGGTAGGTAGTCGATATGTATACACCCTCCACTCCCCTCCCCTCCAACAGCTGGACAAGATCCCTGGCGAAGGCTCGAGTATGCGTCGAGCTCGTCATTTCTTTGCGGCATGTGCTGTCTGTAGGTACGCAGGGGTCGTGGACAGATGAACACATGGGAGAGTCCTTGGTATGGTTGGGCCTCCCGCGCGTCTTCGAGCCAATCGGTGGTTTTAGGGAAACCCCTTGCTTGGCTTTTTGCCGTTGTGTACGATGCAACGGTGCTGTCTTGGAAAGTAAAGAGGTTGCCTAATATACTACGGGAAGAACAGTGCCCGAAAGCCACGATGGCAGGTCAATCTTGATCTTATGAAGCAGCTGAGGCAACCACATATGGCGACATCTTGCGACGAGATGTTCATGGACTTTGCGGCGCTGAGCGCTGCTTCGGCTGGAGCCTTTTCCTTTCAGCTGTCTATATCGCGAGCAACATGGGCATCATCGCGGATCACAAGAACTGGGCACAGAATCGCTCATCCAAAGCCTATACTTTGTAGCCAAGGCTGACCATTTCTGGAATCCTACCTCAGCTGCTGCCGCCTCTTCGTGCCCTTGATCTGACGAAGCGCAGAGCCGATGGCCCTCAAAGCCCGCCATTCCAAAGGCAGTATACAAATATCACCAAAAGTATGAGTAGTAACAAGAAAGCAAAGAATTACCAAATAGCAACTGCCCAACGCCGCGCCAACCAAAACCGTGGTTCTCTAGGTTCAAAGCCCCTTTCCGTCGTGCCGTCTTCATGCATTATTCGCGACCAAAAAAGTATTCCTTAAAGGATTTCTAACGCGTCTCCGAATAGTCATTGAGCGCTACGCATACGGCTCCTCTGTGGTGGCCGTTGTACTGGCGTATAATCTGCTGACTGTGCAGTTCCCATAGCCGCGCATAGTGATCTGAGCATGCCGTCACTAGATACGCCGAGTCGGCGCTGAAGGCACAATCCCAAACCCACCGCTGGTGTCCCGTGAGCGTGGCCTCGAGGGGAAGTGGCCGCTTCTCATCAGGGTTCGACGCCGGCTTGACGTCCCTGATGTCCCAGATCTTGGCCGTGTGGTCGGCGCTGCACGTTGCCAGCTTCTTGACGTCGGGGGAGAGGAGAATGCGGGTGATGTACTCTTTGTGGGCGCTGAACTGCGTCACCGGGAGCAGCTCCGTCTGGTCATAGTTTTGGCGGAGTTGCCACACAAACACATTGCCCTGGCAGAAGTTAGCCGGCGTCAGAGCAGAGCAATTCCGTCTCCGTTGGACATACCGCCGTGTTGGCGGCGCACAGCAGCGTTCCGTCACTGGCAACCGTCACGCTTGATACCGACACGTCTTCCTCGGGAATGAGCTCGTGCGCGCACGTGTTCTCGGCCAGGTCCCAGATCCTCACGCTGCCCGCTCTGTCGCAGCTGATGATTTCGCCCTGATTCGGGTGGATGACCACGTCGTTGGCCGGGGAGCCGTGGTTGTAGCTCCTCTGGATCGAACCCGTCCGCGTCTCCCAAATCTTGACTGTGCCGTCCTCGGAGCTCGTCACCATCCACTTGCCCTCGCAGTGGAACGCCACTCCAGTGACGTTGCCCGTGTGTCCCTCAAACGTGAGCAGAGGGTTGGGATTCGTCGACTTGATGTCGTAGAGCTTGACGGTGTGGTGGCCGGCCGCGGCAAGGAACCGCTTGTCGGGGGAGATGCAGAGGCGGTTCACTTGAGAGTCGGGGTGCTGGATCGTCCGCGAGCATATCCCCGACAGCGCCTCCCAGAACCTGAAAGTCGAAGGGGAGTTAGCACTGCGAGTTCAAGCGAGATCCCCCTTTGGCGCACGTCTGCGAACCTGATCGTGTGGTCGTAACCGGCTGTGTCGTCATTGGTCGTTAGCAGCTGGGGAGATGCAAATGCAAACCAACGGGAAGAGAGAATAGCTCGGAACGGACTCAAGACTGACCGGTACACAGAATGACAGACATTGCGACTGCTTTTGTCTTTGTCACCTAAGCTTGCGCTCACTCAGGACCTGCTTGTTGCGGCGACGAAGCTGGAGCTTGTTTGATCAGGATGGTTGGCGAGGCTGCGAGTGTTCCGCTCCCAGTGGGTGATTCCGCGCTTAGGTAAGTTCTACAGAGCTCTCCAGCATTCTTTGGCGGAGCTTGACCGTTCTGTCTCGGTTCTGTCTTGTTCCGAAGAAAAGCCGTGGGCAAGCATTGACCTGGTCAAGCTTGTCTCTCCTCCATAAGGTACCTCAGCTCAACTTTAACACCTACATGCTTACCTTGGCCCGCATCCTGATAAGACGGGCAGGGAGCTTTGCTCGGGACACACAACCAACCTTCTTCGTGCTTTCAACATACGACTGCCTTGACTGGACTGTGGACCTGCAGCTCGTACGAAGGACCTCGTACTCTCCAACAATTGGTTTTGCGCACAAGCACGTGATAAGCCGCAAATGCGCCTGGCCGTCCATTCCATCATGGAGCCGCCTCTAGATGCTTTCGCTTTCCAGCTTGACTCACCGTCTGCCGGAGCGACCATGCCGGGCTATGGCTAGCAGATATCGGTGATATCACAGCACAGAACTACACCAGACAGCCCATATTTAGCCAAGTGGCCTTTACGCTTATCCGAGGAGCCATTGCCGGGGTCAACCATCGGGTGCTCTCCTTCATGTTGCTACATCTACTCCCTACCTTATGGACAATGTGCCCGGCGTCTCATGACCTTTGACGTGGTACAAGATACCAAGGCATGCATGAGCCTGCGAGGAAACAGCTTCCGATACAAGCGAATCGTGGCTGGGGAAACAAGACAGGCTCGTCCGTTCCCTGCCTGATACCAACAGCCTCTCTGGAAACGCTCCTTGCTACGAACTGGGAGTTTACATACTTGCAAGTTGATACTGCCGGGCTTTGGCAAGTGCCCACTCGGTCAGACCAATTCCAATTGGAACAGAGAAGAACGATATTGACCTTTTCTAACTCGTGTACAGCAGACCGTTTCCGTTACATGACCTCGTTCTACTTAGATGAAAAAGTCACACATACGTGACACCTTGCCATCTTGCTTGGCTACCGGCATACTCGTTGCCAGGTGATCCTCCTATATGTCCCTCAGATTCAAGCTGGACCTCCCTGCGTCCTCGGCAGGTGTGAACGCCGCCATCCCTTTTACGTTTCCTCTTGCCCCCTGTAACCATACTATGAGGCCGAGTCCCCTCATCTTTCTCGAACGGTATATACACCAAAAGGAATATGCACAAATGAGCTGATTTCGAAATGCGGCTGCCAAGGTCCGGCTAACTGCGCTTTGAATAGACTCCCGAGGATCTGTGTCCCGAGTCTGGATGGTTGCTTTTCCCTGGTGATGACGTGCCGGCCTTGTGAGCGAATGGTGAAGCTGGCAACGACGAGAGATATGGATAATCATGAGGGACCATCCTGACGAGTGAGCCTCTGCAGTACTCGCAGTCGAGTCTTTCCACTTCAGCTTTAGCAATCGGGAATCTCAAACAAAGCATACATTGATGGAAGAAACATACTGTCTCATGCTGCACATGTCGCAGCTTATTGGCACCATGCCTGCCTTCATGCCAGCAGCAAATTCTGAAGCCATTGGTGTACAGCTGACGCTCGCTTATATGGAGAAGAACTTGATTTTCCAGGCGAAACGAAAAGGTGAATGGAGAGAAGCAAAAGGTTGATGCCTGGAGAGTGACTGATATGAACGCTTGAAGGGATGATTCGACCCGAAAGAACGAGCGGCGAGTCTTCTTCTTATATACTCATCTCTACGCTACGAGAGGCTCGGCAGCATGGGCAGCATCATCCTGCTTGCCTCTATTATACGCTATCCGAAGGACCGTGAATCCTTTGACCGCCTCGATCACCATCGACCATCGTTTAGCCAACGCATCATCGGCTGCAACGAACCTCACGATGGCCTCTACTTCAACCTGTGTGGTTGCCTCGGCATATAGTCGAAGCAACTAGGCTAAAAGCAACGTGATACTGACCTGCCTGGCTGGACATGGATTTTACGTTGAATGCTCTCTGCTTCGGCATCATAAAACCTCAAAGGCGCAGCCTATTATGCGCCACCTTCACGGACGAGTGCTCGGTTATGTCGAACAAAGTCTTACCGCCTCAATCACGTTGCCCTCACCTTTTTTTTTCCCGCCCACGGCCTTCGTCGAATGAGAGATGAGCTTGACAACTACCGCTCTAGCATGAATGAGCCGATTTGGGTGTTTAACTGCGACACTGGGCCCGTACGCTGTCCTCTCCTAGACCCGGACCGTTCCATTCTGTGCGCTGGGGTGAGATCATGCAGCCACCCGTGATGGCTGATCTCAATCCCTTCTCATTTGTCAATAACCGGACCGGTCAGGTCCCCGACGTTTGCCTTGTCGACGCTGCTCGCTGCTCGCTCCTGCGGAGTAGAGAAGACGGGACTGCAGGAGTTTCAGCTCCAAAACGTACCGCCTGCAAGATGACGATTGCCCTCGCCTTGGCAGTGGCCTGGCGTCCATTGTTTTGGACACGGGAGCCGCGGCTATTGCACTTGTCATGGCCCAGCGTGAACGACTGGTCATTGGGGCCGCGCCCCCTGGCTGTCTCGAGGGATGATGGATCCGACGCAGTGGCTGGTGCCCCGTAGCACAAACAACATGCAGCTATCCCTGGTTGAATGCTTCCCGCCGAGAGAGAGAGCAACAACCTGGAAGGCTCAGGCGCCTAGAAGGCATGGACGTGATAGTCACCAGGCCTATATCGGCAGTCTTCTTGGCTCCCTCCGATACGGATTCGAACCATACAATACGGGCCACGAGTCAAAATCCGCCCTGTGTACCCTCTGCCGCTCTACGAGCGTGAACCAGTCTGGCCACTGTAGGTTTCGTCAGTGCCCCTTTGGTACGGATTACCTCTTCACCTTCGTCGCGAGTTCTGCAGAGCACTCATCGTCCGCACCATCTCCTGCCGCCACCACCAAGCAAAGGGGACTCCATCAATGATCGACTCATGGAAAGCTGCATCAGGCATCAACCGATGCGGATAACCCTCCCGAACCTTTTCGGGCGGCCCGCCACGTGGGGGCCGCTGCTGCTCCCTCTCTCGCAGACCGGTTAGTTGGCGTTCTCGTCTCTTCGCTGCTTGCACTCCCCCTCCCCCCAAAGAGTCCTCACCGGCTTTTCCTGAATTTGTGCGTACACCCGTCATGGCGGCGGGCAATGACACCTCTCTCTTCGGATCCGCATTCCGACATGCGGCTATTCGCTTCGTTGAGGGGACTAGGGCAGGGAGAGAAGAAGCGAAGAAGGAGGAGGAGGAGAAACAAGGAGAAGCACAACACAAGCCCGACACGAAGAGCAGAACGAGGTAGTAGCAAGGACACGGCAAATGATTGGTGAGCGGCCAGGGAAAAGGCGGCCACATGATTTGCTCTCTGCTGCAACACGGAGCGAAGGCTACCTCGAGAGGCTTCCCCCCTCTTCCCCTTTTCTTATTGCCTCCCAGCAAGGCGGTGACTGGATGCTCCCTCTTGTTGATGTTCGACACCGAAAATAAAATGCCTGCGGGTAAGCGTTGGTTCGAAAGATGGTGTATAGGTACACGACCGTGTCTGTTTACCTACTCAGACGAAATTTTACTCGCCGGACCCCGTTTTCCGACGCTTCGGCACTGGCCTGATTGTTGAGGCGGGGGAGTTGGGGAACAAGGGGGAGGAAGAGGAGAGAAAACTGTGTGTTTCCCTTTTTGTGGTCATAGGATCTCATGGCGTTTTATTATTTTTCTCTCCTCTCGCAGCTCCATGAGCATGGGGAATGGAACGTGATAAGATTTCCCTGTGACGCTTTCGTGGTGCCATCTACAATTCCCTATCACGTTGCCCTTCGTTTGACGGTCTTTTCTTTTTCTTCCTAGAGTCGTTGTGGGCAAGTATGTGTTTCTCTGGGGGTTCACCGGCCCATTTTGGACTCGACAAAGACAACTCCTCACCGGCAGATGGCATATGTTCGCTTCCAAGTTAAGCGGAGCACATCAATCTACACGTTTAATAACGCCGAACGAGCCAAGCTCTTTCTTGGCAAACCTTTGAGCAACGGCGACAACAGGAATAGAAGCAGCAATAACAACAACAGCAGCAGCAGCAGAAGAAGAAATACAAACAAGAGAGCACACAGAGTTTAATCGAATCCTCATTCCTCATTCCTCTCTCCACGAAGATAATAGTACCATCCAAAAGAGAAACAGGAAAAGAAAAAAAAAAAAAAACACAAAAAGGGCAAGCAGGTTATGCAAACTCGAATATATCGTCCAAAGGAAAGAAAAGAGAAAGAGGGGAAAAAAAAAGAAGAAGGAAAAATTTCCCTCCAACAGCTTCAGCTGCCCCCCTCCTCCCCCTCCTTGGAACAATTGGGAAAAGGGGGGGGCGTACCACCGGTATTACAGCGCTGACGAAAATGTTCCGTAATGAGGAGGCTGTGATTGGGCGAGAAGCTTGCGTTTGTCGGAGATTCAGGAATGTTACTCTTTCTTTTTTTTCTTTCTTCTCTCTTCTTGTGTACTCAGTAACACGATTCGACTGTTTGAGGAATGTCCACGCAATGGATGCCTTTTTGCCAAGATATAAGAACAAGTACGACGGGCCTCAGGTGGTCGAGGCAAGTATCAGTTGTAACGGCATCTGGATTCTTTCGACACCAAGCAGGGGCACACCAATCGAGAGGTTACAGGACGCGAGTGTCACAGAGTGACGAGAAGACAAAAGAAAAAACGGATTCAATTTATTGACTATCCCTTCTGGGTATAAAGTTAATCCCTCCTTATAGTCCCTGTTACATAAAAGACGAGTCAATGTCACCCTTAGGAGATGCCGGGTAAAGAAGAGATCGTAACCACAGGTTCTCAGATAACAAACGAAAATACATGAAAGTAAGGGACAAGGTAAAGAAGCTACCATCAAGCGGAGTCCAATCCATGTCCAATAGACTAAACAAGGCTGATAGTCAGATGAATCCATGGCGGCCAGCCTCACAAGTGGTCTGCAAATAGTAAACTCGTATACCGCAACGCCAACAGAGGACAACTCGAGACCAAGTCAAAACATTCCGACTTCGTCAAGCAAACAGGGGGTCGACGAAACACAAGGTCATATCAAGAACAAAAGAAAAGAGGGAGTCAGAGAAAGAAGATAACAACTCTTCGAAGATCAACAGCCCACAAGCGTTTACAGCGTTGGAGCAGTGGCAATCAAAGCAGACATGACGGCGACTCCTCCAAGTGCGGCGTATCCGAATATCTCGGCAGCTTTGCGCAGTCGCTTTACCTGCGGTCCCTCGGCTGCGGACTCGGCGGCGGCTGGAGAAACGGCCAGTTCAGCATCAAGGGCTCTGGGCCTCAAAGAGGGCGAAGACGAGTCCTGAACCGGAATGGGTCGAGCGAATGCAATCTCCTCAACTGTTACTTCGGAAATCTCCTCAGCCTTGCGCTTGTTCGGAGATGATCGCTCCTGCGGCTCTGCAGACTGGCCACCACTCGAGTCTGCGCTGCTGGACTCAGCATGCTGCTGCTGCTGCTGCTGCTGAGGCTGCTGCTGTTGGAAATAAGTCTTGGTCACCTGGAATTGATAGGCGGAAGTCTCGTCCAATTCAAGAGGAGGTTCGGCTGCAGGCTCTGTATAGATATGCTCGTTCAAGGGAGTCTCAAGGAACTTGGCTCCCGAGTCCAGCAGGTGACTTGATTCCGTCGCTCGGCTTTCCGCAACATCTTTGGGCCAATTTGGCCAATCCCGTTCAGGGAGCGCTGCGGACTCGTTTGAGCTCTCCGTCTCAGCGATTGGGTCGCTTGGAATATTGGTTTCAGTTGACAAAATCTCCTGCGATCGGAAGGAATCGAACAGAGAGGGTAGATGGACACTGGGTAGATTCTGCTTTGGAGCAGAGGCAGCATTCGCGGGCAAGATGTTCAAGATCGGAGGAAGGCAGTCATTCTCGAACCGATCATATACTTCAGCCTCGTGGATCTCAGTAGCATCGGGACGAGAGACATCGTGGCTCTTGTCCAAGAAGCTTCCACCCAGAGTGTCGTGAGGAGAAGGGTCTCCCAGTGAGGAGTGATCTAATGCAGAACAGTTGTCAGAAGGTGAATTCGAAGAAAGTATCTCTCTGAAGTCTCATGAAGCGAAAGAAAAGAAACACTCACCATCATCATAATCAGTCACCTCGTCACCGTCGTACTCGTCCTCGTAAAACATGGGATCGTCATCTGAAATGTCGTCTGGAATATCGATCGTCTCTGGAGGAGTATGATTACCCGAGAGAGAATTGTCTGAGCCAGTATTGTCGGTCATGTGGTCCTGGACAGACCTGGCGGAGGCTGTCTGCTCTTCGGTTTCAGGCGCTGGCGAGTCCATCTCGTGGTCAGATTCGTCGATAGTGATTATGGGGTTTCGAGAAATGCAGTTTTTGGCTGGACGGATACCGTTATCCCGGAGAATTTTGGTACTCCATCGGATGTTTTCATCCGCAATGTACTCTTCCTCGCTTTCTTCGTCGCTATCATCGGGCACTCGAAAGACAGTTGGGCCTTGAATGGAGCTGTTGACATGTTAGATGAAACCGCTTCAGAGCAAACGAACTGAAACATGAGGAGAAGCATACCTTTGGGGCCTATACTCGACGCTAACTCGCATCTTGCAAGGAGGGCATGTATCTGATCCTCTAGCAATGGGAATGCCAAACTGGAGGATGTCGCCGTCTTTCAAGGCCTGAGATTGGTGCTTCTGAAGTCGTGTTTCGTTGTAAAAGGTCCCGTGGAGAGAGCCGACGTCTCTGATAAAAACCCTCTGCAATCGAATTAGTCTGGGTCCTGACCATAGCGGTCGTCTAGAGAACGGAGGCGTGTATCCTTGTTTGTGTGCATGTCATACCTGAGCTTGGGGATCAAAAAGAAGTGTGGCATGATTTCTGGACATGACGGCTGATTCCATCCAACCGTTGCTGTCCTTGGCTGTATAGTCGCCATTTCTGCTGCTCATGCGGCCAATGGAGGCCACTGTCTTTGAAGAGTCAAGCAAGAGGCGGCGAACTGGAAAGGCAAACCAATCAGGCGGATCTATGGCCGTTAGGTTGACCACGGCTGCATCACAAGTTAGCTTTGGAGGGCCTCAAGTGTTGCGACGCAGCTTGATGAGGGGGGACGTCACCTTCGTTGGGAGAGGCCATGACGAATATTGTTCGGATCGCTTGATGTGTCTTGAACGTCGTCTGGCAAGTGTAGAATCGGTCGAAATCGAGGAGTAGCTCCGGCTAGGCTGCAGTTCGAGGGCCAAGTCGGGGCGGATCCAAGCTGTCGATGGCCTGGCAAGGGAAGGGAGGCTCGCCGGTCTGCTTCTTCTCGCGGACGGCCAGATGCAGAGGCGGGAAAGGACTCGAAGCGTGCACGAGCCGGTCGATACAGAAGAAGAAGAAGAAGCAGGCGCAAAAGGGATGAAGCAGGTTAAAGAGAGAAGAGAAGGAGAAGCGGGAGGCTGTTTGTCAGGAGGGGGAGAGAAGGTCGAGGTTCGGAAGTCAAGGAATGGGTGGGGTTCGAGTCACCACGGCCTCAGAAGTTAAAGCACTCGGGCGCTGTTCAACAGCGGCCAGGAGTCTAAAATACAGTGCCTTGGATGGAACCGAGGCGCTGAACGTGAAAGTCGAGGTACAGGTACCGAGCGGGTATCGAGCAGGTACAGGGCCGGGGCGCAACGGCTTGGGTATCCTCACTGTCCGGTTGTCGGTTTGGCGCCGTGCCCAAGGGGAGTTCAAGGGGCTGTTGTTCCACTGGGTGCGCGCCGTCTGGGACATGAGACGCTCCAAGCAGGATGAGGCAGGGTTGACGTATAAAATGGCGACGGGCCAGCTGGACATGCAAGGTACTTGTAACGAGGGATTGCAACAGCAGAGACGCTGCATGCAGAGATGGAAGGAAAAGGACCGGGCATGAATGGAGAGCGCAGTCACCTTGACGGTAGCGGTACTCGCCCTGGACATCGAGGCGTCTGACAGTCGACAGCAGACGCCAGTACCGAGCACACCTTGCAGGCAGCCCCAGGCAGAAGCAGTGGAGGCAGCGATAAGGTAAGCCCCGCGATGGGAGGGCTTATCGTAGCTTGGGCGGGGCTCTATTGAGCAGCCGAGTGCGGAGACTGGGGTACCGGTACGAGCATGTCACTGACAGATGGAGCTTCTTAAGGTACTACTAGGTAAGTGCTAAGGTAGCGTTTAGAGATGGGCATCCACCACCTCACCGAAGCCTGATACACCAGGAAGACGGAGAAAAAGAAAGCACTCGACGATGAGGACGGTTCAAGTACTACATAAGTCCTTAAGTCCACGAACTGCAACGCCGCCGTCATCGAGACTGCGGGTCTCTGCAGCTTTGCGTGGCCGCCGTGGAGGAACTCGCTGCAGTGCCTTGACGACCTCCAAATCGGACGAGCCGCAGTAGCAGTACAAGCCTCGCACAGTTACCGATGGCGCTGGTCGTGTACCCGCAGTCTCTCAAGCAGGTACAGATACAGGCAGCCGCCGAGGCCTTGCTGTGCCAATTAACGGGCCGCGACGGGTTGCAGGTCAGCTGCAGCAGCTGCGTTTACTTTGCCTTAGCGCGCCAGCCAGGCTCTTGCTTTACAATTGTGTTCCATCGGGGTCTGTTCGTGTTAAAGGGATACAAGTAATACAAGTCGGATCCACAGGGAGCCTGTTGAGTCGAACTGCTATTGGAAAGACAAGTCTTATTTACTCTGGGCTTACGATGGCGAAAGGAAAACGTCGACCGTCTTTTGTGCCCAGTCAATACTAGGTATATATTCACTGGATATCTGCAGAAGGCTGATGCAGGGTCTGCAATGAGAGGTGGGGGGGACCTCGCCATGCCGAGTGAGCTCTTCATCACGGTTGCTCCGGGCAAAGATTCAGTTTGAGCAGAGGCCAGGCGGATGCGAAAGTCTCGTATCGACTTTGTTGAGAAGAAGACAAATGCGCTCTCTTTAAGCTTCGGCCAGGTGGGTGTTAGTTTCGCAAATCCTCAACAAGGGTCCAGTGAGGCTGTCCGGAAAAGTTCCTCCCCTTCAGCGTCCTTGAGCTAGCTCGAGTTCACGCCTTCGGGATATGACGGCCTGCTGACCCGATGCCCAAATTCCCAAGAGCGGTCCCGCCAGGCAAATCAAACAAGGCGTCTGCCTGTTGGTCGAGTGCGCCAGCTGTATTGCTGTATGCAGCTCCGTCGCATTGCATAGGAGCTTTTCTATAGGCAAAGCCTCGGCCGGGAAACGAATCGCAGTTGCAGCTCGGGGCGCGTGAAGATGTGGCGCGAGAGGGGAGCAGAGAAGCGAAGCGAACGGGCATGTATCGGCATCACCTCTGCTGGGTCACCAGAATAGAAGTAAACCGAACTGGAATAAATCACTCGTAAGCTGGATTCATGAAGGAATAAATATCAGCCCAGACTCAACAACAAACCGGCTTTATCTTGACGATTGCGCGTTAAAGTGGCTACAGCAATGACGCATGACCAGCAGGGATGATGCCGCGTCGCTTTGCGGAGTCACCCGAACTTGGCTGGGGCGATGGGGCACCCGAGGCCAGCGGAGGTATCGCTACTTGCTGACAGCCCTGGAGCTCTGTGCCTCTGCCCGGTAATACCAGCGTCATCAACCACCAGCAGTGGTTTAGAGAACAGCAAATGGCCGACCATCTCCTGGAAAAGCGCGGAAGGCCGAGGCGTGGCAGCGTCAAATCAAACGTGGCTCAACATTCTTGTAGATGAAGCACCAAGCAGTTACAGAGCTGTTATGCTCCGACATAGGTTCATAGAAAGTAGCAGAAACAACCGTCCAGTTTCAATGAAGCTGTAGTTGTACGACATATAAGTAGGTAGGTACCGGTACACGCCCCGACGCTGCAGCTCGACTTGCAGCTTCTCACATGTCTGGCGGCGATCGTGGTCCTTGCCCTAAGCAAGTACCGGCTACCTGCTACTTGCCCCGATCAGCCTAGCGGAGACCACTTTTCAGGTAGCGTCGACATGGGAGGACGAAGCTTGTGAGCCGGTCATGCCCACAAAGCGAACGCCACCGAACCACTCGCCTTGTTTCTATTTTATTTCTCTGGCCTCACCTTGTCTTTGTCCTGCTGCCTTTCTTCCTCCCTTCCAACCCTGCGTCAGCTGTGCTTCCCGACTCTCTCACCTTCATCGTCACGCTGTCGTCCCTGCGCTTCCGACGCTCGCCTTTTCAGCGCTGCAGCTCTCCGATATCTGCTTCCTGCTTCCCAGCTCTCGATTCTGATGGACGGTCTACTCTTTCACAACCCCATCAATTCATCCTTTGACGCTCTCGCACACAATCTTGGCTCATCCAGACCAAAGCGCAAACCGACGTGACGACAGTCTGTGCTTCCCAGCGACTCGAAGGGGAGAACTGAGACCGGCCACCAAGGGCTGCAGGACCGGGACGAGCGGCACGTTTGATTCCCAGACGTTTCCCTACATTGGACCTTGGACACCGGCGACTTTTGGTCAATCGTCGACGTCTTAGCTTGGAGGCCGCCTGGCCAACAGAAGCCGCATAGTACCTAGGCAACCTCGCTACAACCGAATATCCTCTCTCTCTCCTTCCCTTACCTTTCAAATACAACCGGCAAGTTCCTTGTCCAACAAGTGCGCCATACAAAATGATGAACCACGCCCGAGTCAAGGCCCTTAAGGGCAACGGGAAGACAGTCTCCAAGAAGGCCATCAAATCGGGTCGTGCGTCGGGTGCTAGCACGCCGCGAGGCTCTCCGCTGCCTTCGCTGCTGACATCCCCGAGCCATTCCGCTGCACAGAGCCGCGCTACATCCGATGTTAGTGACGAAGATGCCGACTTCGAATTAGACGACATGGCATCCAGTGTCTACTCTGGCGGATCTGGTGAAGAAGCGACCGACGAGGCCGATACTCATGTTTTCGACATCAGCGCATTTGTCAATAGCATCAAAGACCGAAAACGCAACAACGGCGAGATGCGCGAACACTCCCTCGGGCTTTACATCAACAAGATTCGGCACCAATATACTGCCGACACCCATCTCTGGCTGGATGATGCCGCGAGTGAGCTCGCTGAGCTGTTCCTTCACGACGCCAATCGTGCCGCTACGGCCAAGGAGCGACTGCTTAGTCTGCAGGCCTTTGTCCTCACAGTTGGCACGGTTGACACTCTCGAGATTTACGACGGGGCGCAAAGGATCCTCAAGCAGATCATGATGGACGATGATGACGACGATTGTCGCGTCTACGCGATATACGCACTTTGTGTGACGGTGCTCTATGCTGGTGGCCTGGAAGAGGCTGCTCTGGAGGTAATGGAATATTTCGTCGAGATTGTGCGCACCGACGGAGAGCATATCGACGCACATGATAACGTCGTCATCGTCGCAGCCGCTCTGCAAGGATGGTGCTTTGTCGCCAGCCATGTGGCCGACTTCTCAGATTATGCCGACGCGGCCATGGATGCGTTTGTGGACCAGCTCGATAGCGACGACGTTGAGATCCAGTCGAACGCTGGCGGATGCATCGCCCTCATCTTTGAGGCGTCGCGGAACCATCTGGAAGAGACGGGCGAGCCATTCCAGCTTCAGTACGATCCGCAAAGGCTGGCCGACCGCATGAGAGAACTGGCCAAGCTGAGCGCCAAGTCGGTCTCCAGAAAGCACCGCCGGAATCTGCGAGAGAGCCTGGTCAGTGTAGTGACCTCCCTCGAGAGGGGCGTCGGCCCATTCTACTCTACTGCTCTCTACATCCCCGAAAAGGGCGAGCATGTGCCCGCCTCGCTGCGTACCGACGACGGACAAGCCGAGTATGGTTACCGGTGCAAGCTGAGGCTGGGCAGTCAAGTTGCCAAGATCGATAACTGGTCTCTCTACTTTAGGGTGAACTTTATGAGAATCATCTTCAAAGGCGGGCTCCAGCACCACATCTTCATCAACCCGGTTGTTACGGAATGCTTGGAGGATGCACAATTTGTCCAGGACTACTCACCACTTCAGAAACCACTAAAAGGCCGGAAGAAGTGAGTCGATGTGTTGCCTCTCTCTCTCATCCTATGACACTGTTTGCTTTTCCTTTGCTTTTGAAATATGGAATGCGAAGCGGTCCAAGAATTAGAACTGGAAGGAATGATGTCCTCGAGTACCACGCCATCAACGCTCTCTATTACACTGTCCTGTTCGGGATGATTGCGCATGGCGAGATGAAACAGTTCAGCGCCTTGTTTCTTTTTTTGTACTTCTATACGGGTTAGGGACTATATCAGGTAGTCTCAGATTGTACCTTAATAGACACCACATTGCAGGCACTTTCTCTCGTTACCTGGTCACGGTGAGGGTTCCGATGACGACGCAGTGGAAGGATGCCATGCTTAGTTGAAAGAGTTGGGCTCTATGTCCATGATAATATTATCTTGGTGTATACCGTAGAATTTCATTATGTCTTTATCTCATTAACAAACCTTGTTTGCCCTTAGGTCTTTATTTCCTTAGCATACAGCTGTAAGCGGACAGTGCCAAACCTGTGTAGCCCAAACGCCTCTATGACAGTTATATCGAGACTGTCTTTTACCTCTTCATGAATCCTCCAACGCCAGAAACAACATGCAGTCAGTCAAGTGCAGACTCTCGCCAGAACTTTGTCTACACAAAGTCGACACTCTTTCTTCTCCTGCCAAGGAGAACCCAAGCCAAGAGTGAGGATTAGAAATTAGACAGTTTAGAAAACAGCCTTGTCCCCAAAAGGCCTCCACCAAAACCGGACCCCGAGCAGCATCCCCGCGCCGGCCAGCGTGAGGGCGGCAGAAAACGAAAAGACGGCGAGCCAGGCTGCGTCGTCGGAGGCGGCAGAGGCGTCCTTGATGGCGCCGCTGGCGGGCCCGCCGGAGAGGGCGGCGAACGAGGCGAAGGCCATCATGAGGCCGATGCGCAGGCCGATGCGGTCCATGCTGTCGGCGGGGGTGGTCTGGGCGACGCAGGCGGAGCCGAGGGGGATGAGGCCGCCGGAGAAGAGGCCGAAGAGGAGGGCGGAGGCGGTCATAGCCGCGGAGGAGGTCATGCTGGCCCAGGAGAAGGTGACTGTGGCTGTGAGGAGGGCCATTATGAATAAGACGTTGAAGCTGTTGATGGAATAAGTTTTCGTCAGTTGGGACCAGAGAAAGATGGAGAAAACGGGGGAGGGGGGGAAGAGGGACTCACCGGCCGAAGCGGTCGGCGATCCAGCCGCTGCCGACGCGGCCGACGACGGAGCCGGCGTATCCAATCGCCAGCAGGTTGTTGGCCATGGTCGCGCCGAGGCCGTGCTCGATGGCGAAGAGCGGGATGTAGTAGAAGGGGATGAGCATGCCGCCGTAGATGAAGAAGAGCGAGAGGCACAGCGCTGCGAAGCGGCGCTCGCAGACGGCGTCGCGGATGCCGGAGGAATTCTGGTTGCGCTCTTCCGCCTTGCTTTCGTCCCTGTTCTTGTCTGTTGGCTTGACGCTGCTGCCGCTTAGGTTGGCCTCGGCGTCGGTAATGATAATGACGGCGGCGAGTGTGGCTTTGCGCTCGCGGACGAGGAAGCAGGAGATGAGCAGGACGGGGACGGAGATGAGGGCGATGATGCGGTGGACCCAGGGGGCTGGCACGGAGTCGAACAGCTTGTTGATGATGATGGGCCAGAAGATGCCGCCGACGGAGGAGCCCGAGAGGGCGATGCCTAGGGCGAGGCCTCGTTTGTGGTTGAACCACTCTGAGATGGCCCCGGTCGCTGGGTAGAAGCTGTTGGTTTTGATTCGCGGTGTTAGTCTAATCGACCACGTTGTTCTGTTGTGATGAGAAGAGGAGGAGAGAAGATGGGTTTGATTTACAGCAGCGCATTTCCAATTCCGAGCAGGATTCCTTGAGCCAGGAGATACTGGTAGTACTGAGCAGCAAAGCTGGAGCAAATAAAGGAGAGCAGGCAGACGGCGGTGCCGGAGAACATGAGCGCGCGGGAGCCGTATCTGTCAAAGATGGGGCCGACGACGGCGCCTCCGAGGAAGAGGATGAAGAGCTGCGGGGAGAATGAGTTAGACATGGGTGGAATTGTTCTTTTTAAAGGGGGTTTGACTTACTTGGATGCTGCCGATCCAGGTGATGGTCGAGGTGGAGAGCCAAGGCCACTCGGTTTCATAGCGAGCTTGGAACGTACCAAAAGAGTTGACAAGTCCTGGGCAACAAAAGATGTGTTAGATTGGGGGGGATTGAGTTCAGAATGAGTATATACTAGGTAGCAATTGGGGGGGAAGGGTTCTCACCAAAAGCAATGGTAAAGTCCAAGAATCCGCCCAAAACAACCAACCAAGCCCGGAGTCCACCATCTGGAACAATCCCAGCGGAAGTTCCATCTTCTTGAGCAACGACAGTCTCCTCGCTCGCAGCAAAAGAAGTTACCGGCGAGTTGAGACCTCCCTCGATCGTGGAAGTGATGGGCGGGATGTTGATGATGCGGGCTTCCAGTGGAAGAGGCTCCTGAGCAGCGAGGCTCGGTTTCTCGAGACTGAATATTGTCATCTTGATGAAACTTGCTCGTTTCCTCTTGTCTTTTTTTATTTCTTTGTTTCTTTTTGATGATCAAAAAAGGCCAAAATGAGGGACGTCAAGGGGGACTGTCCTTGAGCTCAGGGGGTTGAGATGGAAGAAGCCACTGTGTGTTGAGAAGAAGGAAAAGAAAGGACCGAACAAGCTGGCAAACAGAAAAATATTCTTCGTCTCCCAACAGTCCATTCATTGGGGCCACAAGCAAACGGAAGATCAGATGAAAATAAGAGTTGGGTGTTTGGTTCAGCATGCAGGCCGGTGGGTGAGTGCAAGGGCGGGCGAGCGGCTGGCCAGCTGGCAGGTTGGTTCATGGAGGGCTGCCGGACAAAACGTCGAATTTGAACGAGAAGATGGCATAACTGGTGCTTGTGAAAGGCTTCTTGCTTGGAGGAGGAGGAAGCAAGCAAGGGCAAGCCTGGTGTGGGATGGATATATAGCATGTTTGGTAGGTATGAAGAGACAGCCGAGGT